TGTGTGTGTGTGTGTGTGTGTGTGTGTGTGTGTGTGTGTGATGATTTTCCTTGACTGAGTGTAATATAGGTGGTCTCAAGACATGTAAAGCAAGATAAGCTATGATAGTCATAGGACTGGCATTGCTAAATGCATTATCAAATGACCCCATTTTAAGTACCAATAGCTCTATCCTAAACGGAAGTGCAATGATAATGGGCTGATATTTGTCTGAACTGCAGAAAGGACAACAAAGGTACAAGTTCCAAACAAATGTGATCAGCAAAGGAAAAGTCAGATTCTCACCCCTACACTCCCATTTTCTATGGTTTCTAGTTTGACCACAAAAGAAGATTTCTCACCGGCTTGTAGAAATTGCCTTCAGGTTACCCAGAAAATTTGAGATGTATAAAAGCAATCATACTTTCTGACATAGTTCATTTAATTATATTCTAAATATGAACCCCTCACAGAAGAGGTGCTAGCTTACCGCCCAATTTCTTCCTCTACAGAGAATGCAACCAAATCTGTGCCTAAGGTATTAAGGGGGTTAGGATGTGGATGAAGTTAGCCAGAGGAAAGTTGGAGGAGACTCAGAGGTTAGGGTGCATGCAGCTAGAGACCTGGAGGAATGGAGGATGCTCTCTGAGGGTGCTGTTGCAGTAAAAGACTGGGACAGCGTCAGGACCCGGGAAAGCCAGAACCTTTCTTTCACCTCTCAACTGCTCTCAATGATAAAAGGCAAATGAACTTTTGTTTCTAATTATTCTGGGATGTCAATTGTGGCAGAGAAAATTAGTTTAGCTTTAAAAGTCAATTACAGATAAATGTACCGTGCAAATGTCAAGAGAGACTGATCCTGAAATATGGAACGACCAAGAAGCCAGTTGGATGCATGGAGAGAGCTGTGACCATGTTGTCAGTAGCAATGCAGAGTCCAGCTACAAACCTCAGATCTGTCCAATGAAAAGAATCAGGCAGTGCCTCTCTACCTCAACCCTCACCAGTACCTTGGTTCAACCCCCTGGTTTCTGGGTAGCAAGGGCACTATAGGCAAGTCTTCTCCCATGTAGTCACATGTGTCCTCTGGTCCTATCCTTAGGTTGTGCTGCTCTATGCCTCTACTTACGTCCTGGTGTCCCTCAGCATAGACAGATACCATGCCATCATTTACCCCATGAAGTTTCTTCAAGGAGGTGAGCAAACATCCTTTCATAAAGATCCTTTTATGAGATGGGGATACTTTTGCTAATATTTTATTAATATTTTCTCAGCCCCAGCCACACCTTTCTTTTCTTTCTCTTCTTTTTGTTGTCTTTCCCCTCTTCCTTCACTGCCTAATGGGTCAGAGTGTCCAAAAGTATAGAAAGAAATCTTGGGTGCAAGGGGAGTGCTACATGATCTATCTTGGCCCCATAAGAGACCTTGGTGGCCACATGCTGTGCCTGTTCACCTCAGGGCAAGCACTTCTACCTCATTCCTTACAATCCTGCCAGCAAGCCCACCCTTACAATGAAATGAGTACTGTTTCCCCAAGTTCTTCATTTACAAGACACAAACACCTGTTCTTTCTTACCCCCAAGCCAAAAGCTGAAAAAAAATTTTTTTAATTTATTGAAAACAAAGGAACTTCTCCTTAGTCCAGGATCTGGTGGCCAATAACATCCTCGCTGCTGCTCACGGTAGGAAGCACTGCCAGAAGTGCTTCTTGATGTCCAGCATGCAGAAGGAGAAGCAGAACTCAGGAAGCTGTAAATCCTGAGGCATGCAGGCACCATGAAGGCTTTTAACCACAACCAGCACCTGCCTTCTGCACTCTCAAGCCGGGTGGGAGGGACGAAGGTCCAGCTTCCATGGGAAGCAGCACACAGATGCTGCTGAGGTGGTCCCAGGAGCCATCAGTGCTTTGGTGGTAAGCACTGTGTGGAACCAGCTAGCTGACCTCTGCTCTGCACACAGGCAGGTAGGCCCAATGCATTCCTAACTTTCTCCTATACCCATGGGAACTGAACTTTCACAGGAAAGACAAGGAGGAAATCCGGTATCTTTTAAATGCTACAAAAGCTAATCTAGTAAAAATAAATAATGCATTTAAAATGCATTCCATAAAATTCCCACTTAGGAAGGCAAGTTGAATGAGTCAGCAAAACCTTTTAGTAGATCTACAGAATGTCACTGGAGAGCCACCAGAAGGGGAGAGCTGTGGGAATTTCATTAATTGACAATACATGGGTTCCTTTGTACTGTTCTTGAATAAAGTGACAGTTTCCTTAGCCAGCAACTACAAAGAGATTGTTACTACTGTGGCTTTTTTAGGGAAACTGGGTGTAAGAATAATCAGTAATGTACCAGAAGTGCTGAAGAAAAATATTTGTTACATATGAAAATAATCTCACTGTTAGAGCAAGTGCTAGCAAGATAGCACATATATGCCACACACACACACACACACACACACACACACACACAAACACACACTACAAATATAACTTCAATTCAGTTGGAAAAGAATGGGTTTGTTAATACATAATATTGTACTAGCTCGATAGCCAGTTGAAAGCATTAATTCATCATACCACAGCTAATTAAAAACAGACCCTGTTGGACTAAAAAAGCCAGTCAATCAAACATACAGGACTAAGAGAACACAATATAAAACCTTCCATCATCTTAAGAAGGACAGGTCTTTCTAGGAATCATACTGAAAGCAGAAGCAGTAAAGGAAATCCTATGTCACCAAATCAAGCTCTTCGGCTATCTATACAAATAAAAATCATGAACAATAGCAGAAGAAAAAGCGAAAATTTGTACCAAAACCAACCTAACCAAAAGACAATGAGCTAATATCTCTTCTATGGCAATTTTGACAAAGACTTAACAACATCAACTAAAAAATAAAAAAAAATAAATAAAGAAACAATTAGGAGACATGAAGCTAATTAAAGAATTGCCAGACTAAACATGTGGAGAGGAAATTGTACCAGCCAGCTAAATGAGATTAAACTAAGAATCTTCTTGGAGTTGGGGAACAGGGGGATTTAAGTGGACCTGCACCCTCTTGTGAGAGCTGAATGCTACAGCAGGTATCGCACCCACTTATTTAGGAGAAAACTGATGCTTTGGGGGACACTGACAAGTCCCAGGGGCTCTCATCCAGAGGTCAGTCTCTACAGCAGACCCAGTGAGCTTCCACAGCACACTCCCAGGTGCCCAGGCATGTTCTCTTTTCTTTAAGCAGAGAAGCAAGCCAAAGTGCTCATTGGGATAGCCTGGAGCCTCTCGTTCCTGTTCTCCATCCCCACACTGATCATATTTGGGAAAAGGACGCTCTCCAATGGTGAGGTGCAGTGCTGGGCACTGTGGCCGGATGACTCCTACTGGACCCCGTACATGACCATCGTGGCCTTTCTGGTGTACTTCATCCCCCTGGCAATTATCAGGTAAGAGGCCAGTGGGCTGGACCCTGCCTGAGTATGGGTTACCCCCTTCAGATCAGTCACTGTTCCAAAGTCCTTGGGGGAACTAACTGGGACATGGGATGCTATCTTACACTATCATGGGCTCAGCCCAGTTCTTCCAAAGCAGAGTCAAGAGAGGAGAGCACTGATTGAGGACGTGCTCAGACACATGTGTTGTGCCAGGTGGCTGACCCTGTCTTTCACAATGCCACCCTGTGAAATAAATTACTTCATTTTATGAAAATCAAAACCAAAAAAACAAAAACAAAAACAAAAACAAAAACTCAAGATCAGAGCGGTTAAGGAACTTAACATTACACAGGATTGAAATCTTGGTCTATCTGACTACACTCCCTATTCTCTTTCTTATAATATAATCATATAACCTTTAAAATATAAATTATAACACTAGCTTTAGGGATATTAAAAATTCAAAGACAGACATAATTAAAACGAATGAACCAAAAAAATGCAATAGTATATTAATACATGTTTGACTACTTGGGCAGTGGGCTTTGGAATCACTAACACTTCTTACATACTACCACTGAAGGAAGAAAGGACTCCAGGAAGAGGAGATGAAGGTAAGGGAGGAAGCTAGAAATAGGGTCGAGTGCACAGGCAGAAAGCATCTATCAGGGAGAAGTAGATACTAACCTGCTCTCCATGGCCTGACGGGGGAAAAAGGAAGCATAGTTTATTGGGGAGGGGGAGCCTTAGCAATCAAGTCACAGAATAAAACTTAGTCCTGAGGCCATAGACGACCAAAGCAGCCTGTTCCAAGCCAGGTCTCACTCACTCACACAGCAAAGCACCCGCACAACATTGAGTTTACATGTGTGAATGTGGTACATGGAAAAACTTCCCATGGCAGGTGTGCATGTGGGCCATGGTAGCCTGCATTTTGGGAGTGTCCCTTACCTGCAAGAATGGGTACCATCAAGCCACGGCAGAGGCAGATCAGTCTTTGATTGTAGTAGTATAGATTGTGAAGAAAGAAAGAAAGAAAGAAAGAAAGAAAGAAAGAAAGAAAGAAAGAAAGAAAGAAAGAAAGAAAGAAGAAAGAAAGAAAAGAAAGAAAGAGAAAGAAAAAGAAAGAAAGAAGATAGAAGAAAGATAAAAGAAAGAAAAAGGTTCTATGTAATTAAAATCGCTAATGCACCCTTACTGTTGCCTAAGCTAAGATCAAAAACTCAAGTGACAACACATGCTAGAGAGGTTGTGGAGAAAGGGGAACCCTCCTCTACTGCTGGTGCGAATGTAAACTTGTACAACCACTTTGGAACTCCGTCTGGTGCTTTCTTAGAAAATTAGGAATAGTGCTTCCTCGAGATCCGGCTATGCCACTCCTAGGCATAGCTAGGATATCCAAAAGATGTTCAAGTATACTACAAGGACATTTGCTCAACCATGTTCATAGCAGCTTTAATTGTAATAGCCAGAATCTGGAAACAACCCAGATGTCCCTCAGTTGAGGAATGGATACAGAAATTGTGGTACATTTACACAATGGAATACTACTCAACAATTAAAAACAAGGAAATTATGAAATTTGCAGGCAAATGGTGGGAACTGGAAAAGATCATCCTGAGTGAGGTACCCCAGAAACAGAAAGGGTATATGCTCACTCATAAGTGGATATTAGACATATAATATAAGATAAACATACTAAAATATGTACACCTACAGAAACTAATCAAGAAGGAGGACTCTGAGTAAGATGTCAATCCTTATTCAGAAAGACAAAGAGGATGGACATCAGAAGAGGGAGAAAACAGGGAACAGGACAGGAGCCTACCACAGAGGGCCTCTAAAAGGCTCTACTCTGCAGGGTATCAAAGCAGGTGCTGAGTCTCAAAGCCAAACTTTGGGCAGAGTGCAGGGAATCTCATGAAAAAAAAGTGGGAAGTAGTAAGACCTGGAAAAGACAGGAGCTCCACAAGGATAGTAACAGAAGCAAAATATCTGGGCCCAGGGGTCTTTTCTGAGACTGATACCGCAACCAAGGACCATTCATGGAGATAACCTAGAACCCCTGCACAGATGTAGCCCATAGCAGTTTGGTGTCCAAGTGGGTTTCATAGTAATGGGAACAGGTACTGTCTCTGACATGAACTGATTGGTCTGCTCTTTGATTACCTCCCCCTGAGGGGGAGCAGCCTTACCAGGCCACAGAAAATGACAATGCAGCCACTCTGCTGAGACCTGATAGACCAGGATCAGAAGGAAGGAGAGGAAGACCTTCCTTATCAGTGGACTGGGTTAGGGTTATGGGTGGAGAAAGGGGAAGGAGGGTGGGTTTGGGAGGGGAGGAGGGAGGGAGCTACAGGTGGGAAACAAAGTGAATAAACTGTAATTAATAAAAAAATTTAAATTAAAAAAATTGTTGCCTAAGGACTCATAGCAGGATTTTGAAGTCAAAGATGGCTCACTTTTAGGACATGATGCATGAACACAAACACTCTACAAATGTGAGTCCTGACAGACACCATGGAGCACCCTTGGCTCTTCTCCCAACCCAGAGAAAGGCAGTACCATTTCTTTATTTGATCTTTATCAATCTGTGAGCTAGGAACACACACCTTATTGCTTTAATGTGCACTTGTTTTACTTATCAGTCTGCTTGGCTATTTTTAAATGTCTCCTGATATTATGGAAAATCACCTGTCTTGTCTTTATTGCTCATCTTTGGTCCCCTGAAGTCCTAAAGCTGGGAGTAATACAAGGTGTTACCATCTAGCTGTGACATTTTCTCAAGGGTGTCTCACACAAGGAAGCTAAAGGTGGCCTTATCAGTGACCAGGAGCCAGGTCACTAGCTCCTCTGAGATCAATAGCTATTCATTTTGGCCGAACTGACGAATTAACATCCACATTTGTTTCAAACTATTTTCCTCCTGTCTTCCAATATGAATGGAATAAGGCCTGGTGGAAAATGAAGGTATAAGATGATGTAATCAGCCACAGGTAAAACTCAATAACACTGTTGGGAGAAACTGAGTGAAAGGAGAGAGGCTGGACTCAAGGAGTGCCTGGCACAGCTCAGTAACTGAGGCACAGATTCCAGTGGCTGGTTTTGGGTGGAGCTTCACTCCTCTTGATTTCCCATCCATCTCCACTTACCAGGCAGGTACTCCCAAGCAGGAGGACCCACACAGCTCTAGGTGGCCATTTCCTGGCAGATTTGTCAGATCTGTGACTCTGAGATTTCTTTTCCACATTAATTTGGCTACATTTTGCAATAGGATTACTCTTGTGAACTTCCTGCTGCTTAACTCACAGTTTGTTAGTGAGCTTAAAAAGCCAAGGCTTAATTTGTTGGGGAAATAGTTTCAAAGAAGGAGTTTTATGTAGCTCTCACCATGCCAAAGCCTCCATTAGACCTGCACATGCTTCCTGACTGCTGATGACCTTCTGTGTCCTTCAGCTTCTTGGAAGCATTTCCTGTTTGACAGGAAACAAAAGGGTCAGCCACCAGCTTTGCTCCTTTCCAAGTAAAGAGCAGGCTTCTCTCTTGGGGAAACAAGGCTTCTTCCATCTCTTGAACCAAGCTCAAGCATGCATTGCACTAGCTAGCCTCCCTCTCTGTATGTCTCTCTCTGTCTCTGTGTCTGCCTGAGTCTCTCCCTCTCTCGCTATTTCTTTTTTCTTTATTCTGACATCCCTTGACTTGATTCTTTTGTTGATACCTCTTTTAAGTTAAATAAACTCTTAATTGCACGCTTAGCTAAATTAAGAAACGACTCCAATGGTGTTCATTCACTTTGGTAGCCATGTCTCATGATTTCTCATTTATGTGAAACATATGCTTCTAAATTTGTTTCAGTGATAGGCTATTTATATCTATATACTTATATATAGATATTATATACATATATATATATATATATAATTTTGTTTCTGTGGGTATTTGTTTGTTTGTTGGTGGTGTTGTTTTATTTGTTTGAGGGGTTTGTTTTGTTTAGGAGACCTAAATTGTGTAGGGATCCTGCAAGTGGTTCTAGGCCTTCAGAGAGGAAATAATTAAATCACTGAAGAAGGAAATAAAAGAAACAGAGGAATATTCCAACAAACATGTGAAGGAATTGAAAGAAAATACAATCAGACAGGTGAAGGAAATCAACAAAATGGTTCAAGATCTGAAGATACAATTGAAAAAAATTAAACACACAGGGAGAAAATTATGGAGAAGAAAAACATAGGGAAGAAAACATGAACTACAGAGGTAAGCATAACCAACAGACTACAAGAGATGGAAGAAAGAATGTCAGGTGTGTAAGATTCAATGGAATAAATCAATGCATCCATCAAAGAAAATGTTAAATCTAAAAAATTTCTGAACAGATCATCCAAGAAATCCAAGACAACATGAAATGACAAAATCTAAGAATGATAGGAATAGAAGAAAAAGGCCCAGAAAATATTTTCAACAAAATATAGAAGAAAATTTCCCCAATTTAAAGGAGAGGCCTATAAGCATACAAGAGGCCTACAGATCACCTAATAAATTAGACCAGAAAAGAAAATCCAACTGCCACATAACAATCAAAACAGTAAGTATACAGAACTTACTGTATAAGTATACTTACTGTATAAGTATGAAGAAAAAAAATACTAAAAGCTGCAAAGGGAAAAGGCCAAGGAACATATAATGGCAAACTCATAAAATCACATCTGACTTCTCAACAGAGACTACGAAAGCCAGAAGGACCTGGACAAATATCATGCAGAGCCTAAGAGAACACATATGTCAGCCTAGGCTACTGTAACCAGCAAAACTCTCAATCATCATAGATGGAGAAAACAAGATATTTGACAACAAAAACAAATTTAAACAATACCTACCCACAAATCCAGCATTACAGAAGATACTAGAATGAAAAATACAAGTCAAGAAAGCTAACTACAGTCAGGAAAACACAGGAAATAAATAATCTCACTACAGTAAAACTAAAAGTAGCCAAGCACACAAACACTATCACAACCAACACCAAATCAAAGGATCTAACAGCCACTGGTCATTAAACTCTCTCAACATCAATGGACTCAAGTCTCCAATAAAAAGACACAGACTAACAAAATGGATGTGTAAACAAGACCCAACAATCTGTTGCATACAAGAAACACACTTAAGTCACAAAGATAGGCATTACCTGAGAGTAAAGGGCTAGAAGACAGTTTTCCCGAGCAAATGGGCCCAAGAAGCAAGGAAGAATAGCTTATCTAATATCTAATAAAATGAACTTTCAACCAAAATTAATCAAAAGAAATGGGGAAGGTCACTTCATACTCATCAAAGTAAAATTCCACCAAGAAGACATCAAAACTCTGAACGTCTATGCCCCAAATACAGGGGCATAGACATTTGTAAAAGAAATATTAATAAAGCTTAAACCACACATGGCTTACCCACACATTAATAGTGGGAGACTTCAACACCCCATTCTCACCAAAAGACAGGTCAACAAAACAGAAATTAAACAAAGAAACAATAACTCTAACAGAGGTCACGAATCAAATAGACCTAACAGACATCTACAGAACCTTTCACCCAAACACAAGTTATCTTCTCTCAGCATCCCATCTAATCTTCTCCAAAATAGACCATATAGTTGATCACAAAGCAAGCCTCAACAGATACAAAAATATTGAAATAATCCCTTGTAGCCTATCTGACCACTATGACTAAAGCTGTACCTCAACAACAACAGAAATAGCAAAAAGCCTACACACACACACACATACACACACACACACACACACACACACACAAGGAAACTGAACAACTCATTGCTCAATGACAGCTGGATAAGGGAAGAAATAAAAAAAGAAATTAAAGACTTCCTAGAATTCAATGAAAATGAAGGCACTACATACCCAAATGTATGGGACACAATGAAAGCAGTTCTAAGAGGAAAGTTCATAGCACTAACTGCCTTGAAGAAGAAATTTGAAACATCTCCTACAAGCAATTTAATGACTCCCCTGAAAGCCCTAGGAAAAAAAGAAGCAGAAAAACCCAAGAGGAGTATATGGAAATAACCAAACTCAGGACTGAAATCAATAAATTAGAAACAAATAAAACAGTTCAAAGAATCAATTAAACCAAGAGCTCGTTCTTTGACAAATCAACAAGCTAGAGAATCCCTTAGCCAAACTAACTAAAAGGCAGCAATGAAAGGAGGGACATAAACGACAGACACTGAGGAAATCCAAACAATCATCAGGTCTTACTTCAAAAGCCTATACTCCACAAAATTTGAAAATCTTTGAATTTCTTGATGCCCAATCTGGTATGCAATAAACATTTGGTAAATGTTGGAATGAGTGAGCAATGAAGACTGAACAATAATCTGTACTAAATGTTCTACATGTCTGTCATGGTCTCTGTTCTGTCTGTCTGTCTCTCTGTTTCACTGTTACTCTGTCTCTCTCCTCTGTATGTGTCTCTCTCTGTATCTCTGCCTGCCTGTCTCTCTTTCTCTATTTATCTATCTATCTCTCTCTCTCTCTCTCTCTCTCTCTCTCTCTCTCTCTCTCTCTCTCTCTCTCTCTCACACACACACACACACACACACAAGAACACATAAGCACACACTTCACAGTATGCTCCTAATGTGGAAATTTCATGCTTACATCAGTTTGGGGCATATGTTAGCCCATCTATTAGTATATATGGAGGGAAAGAAGGAGGAGAAGGTGAGACATTGTGTCACCAGCAGCAAACTCTCTTAAGAGCTATGCATGAATGAAGATGCTGTAATTCCATCAGTGATTAACTCAGTCCCCAAGGCTTGAAGTCACCATGAATGACAGCAAAGGCAATACTCTACTTTTCTGGGTCAAAACAACTTGTATGTTTTCAAAGTTCACTTGGTGGAGCTGTCTAATTGTTCCACTAAGGATATTTGCCCGAGTGCAATTGCTCTGCTCACTGCACTTATTTTCTTGTGACCTAACTGATTTCTTACCTTATGAGCAGTTTCTCTGTCTGAGACAAAGGTGTAAGCACAAAAGATCCATGGTCACAACTGCAAAGGGACAAGTTGAAAAGTGCACATTAGTTACAGAGCACTGATTTGTGTTATACGAGAAAAATCCATTCATTTTCTTGGGCAATTGGGCTTAGACTGTGGAAAGCCTCACTGTAAGACAGTCTCTTGTGTTATACAAAGCTGTGGAGGTTAAAAGGGCCCCAGAGATCTGTCCAGCACTAACCATAGCATGAGGCCCAAGGACAAGGAGAATGGTGGGGCCTGAGTCAACTTATCATATCAGGAAATGAAGTAACAGCCCAAATACTATGATCTAACATATAGTGAATGTTTTCTGTTTTTAAAAAAACAAAACAAAACAAACAAAAACATGCTCACTATTTCACTCCATGATGGTGGATATTTGTTTGCACGGTCCAACTTCCATTCCACTTCTGCTCCTAGATTCTCTTAACAGCCCCTCCCCTGGCATGAAAATGTCTCAGGAATTGCTGGATGATCCAGTTCAGACCAAACAGGTGAAGAGAATATCTTCAAGAAGGTTTTTAACAAGGAGTCTAAGAAAGATATCATCTCTGCTCCCTTCATCTCTGTGTTGATGCACAACTGGCATGAAGAGAAGCCTTTGAACTGTGGAAGAGAAAAGGGACTTCAACATTTGGACAGCCCTACCTTTGAATGTGCAGTTATGAGAAATTCATAGTATCCCAACTATGTGACCCACTTCAGAGTGTTCTGTAGTTAGTTCCAACAGGCTTCTTCCTAATACTCAACTCTTAGTACTTGGTGACACTAGACTTCTTCGGCACCACTGTGGGTAGAGGGTGACTTTGTCTTCTGCTAACCATTGACTTTCCAGCCTACCTGTGCAAAATTTGTCTGCTGAATTTGGGATCTGAGGATTGAAAGAATGGGGCAGACTACAGTCTAATATAGTAGATATTTTCTTCAGTGTCAGTGAACTTTTATACAAAAAGGTAGCAAAGAAAGCAATGATCTAAGTAGGTTGTTTGAGTTCATAAAAACATGCAAATAAAATGCCAGTAAGAAAATACTAAATATTTTCAAAAGAGTAGCCCTTTTTCGGAGCTTTCTCAGGACAGACCAGTGTAAACACAATTGCCAGGCACATAATACAATACTTGAAAGCAAGGCAGAAGTCCATATCCAGATTGAGTTTTATAGCTATTTTATGACACGCAACAAAAATAAACATGTCTTATAGACTGAATGTATATTTTTATCACAGGAGACATGGAATCACACCCAAGAATGATCCAGGGAACAAAATGTACCTGATATAAAAGACCCTCTGCCTTTTTCCTGGAGCCTCTCACAGTTCCCCAAAGAACCATTCACCATGGGTCATTCTATTAACAGTGTTCCAACACTAACCTCAGAAAAAGCACAGCTAATTAAGTGGCACCAAGTGACTTATTGGGG